TATTTGCCAGATTAACAAGCAAAGCTATAAAACACTTCTGACTCTGGTCGCATAAATAAACTTGGTGATTGCTTATTTGTAATCCCAGAATATTGTATTACAGCTGTGCTGTCAGGCTACAAGACAGGAATTTGAGTGCCAGTGGAAGCCCAAATCCATTCAAGACTTTTATTTAAAGGATGGATTTTTGCACAGGCAGACTATTCGTGGCTTATTTAGCCAAAAGGCTTGCAAAATTACAATAATAATAAATAAGTAGGAAAAGCCAGGAAGTGCTGCTCAGCACCTGGCCAGAGGCCTTTTGTTTTTGGCCAGAGACGATTGCAACCCCACAGTGCCTGGGACACGTTACAGAAGAAACCCTTATTCGTTATCTTATTCCCTACATCCTTCCTCCGTCTAGATTTTATACCGAAGAGCCACGCAGAGCACTTAAACAGCTCCATAGCTATCAATTTCCTGATTTTGTCTTTTGATTAAACCCTTTGCCCGTTCCTAGGGTTTGTGACACCTGGCTTCCCAGTCCCACCACACGGACATCGCTGTCCTACATTACAGCACCAGATCTTTCGGCCGGGGCCGCGCACACACCCCCGGCGGGGCCGGGGGAACGCACCCCTGCTCCCGCCGCTTCCCCGCGGGGTCCCCCCTGTCCCCGGCCGCCGCCCCCGGGAAGGTCAGCCGGGCACAGCCCGGTGTTCCCGCTGCCGGCCGGGGAAGGCGGCGGCCGAGACCCCCCCGCGCCGTCCCCGCGGGCCGCCCCCACCCGCGCCGCGGCTGCGGCAGCGCTGAGGGCGGCCAGGGAGGACCCCCGCGGGCTGGGGGCGGCTCCGCGGCGGGCAGCGGGGGCCCGGCGGGCGCGGCGCTGAAGGACATTTTATCCGCCGGTGGTGCCCGGCCCCCGGAAAATGGCTGCCGGGGAGCGGGGCCCGAGCGCGGCCGTGCCGCCCGCCCGGCGCGGGGAGCGGCGGCGAGGGATGGCGGCGGCCGCTTCGTACCTTTGAATTTGAGCTCGTGCTGCGGTTCGAGGCTGAGGACCTGCTCCGCTTTCGCCATGTTCCTCCTCCTCGGCGGTGGCGGCACCAGGCGGAGAGAGGAAGGGACGGGGAGGGAGGGGAAGGAAGAGGGGAGGGAGGGAGGAAGGGAAGGAGGAGGGAAGGCTGCCGGGGGGCGCGCCCGGTAGCGGGTTCACCCCTCTGCCGGCTGCTCGTTCGCTCGTCGCTCGGGTGCTGTTTCACCCTCGCCCAGCTGGTTGTTCACACTGTCCCGGCGGCCCCGGAGCGGGGACAGGCGCGGGCGGCGGCTGGCGGCGCACACGCTGCCGGGCAGGGCGGGCGGGAGGCGGGATGATGCAGCACGGAGGGGCCCGCGGAGAGGCTGCGGCGGCGGCTGACGTGAGCCCGGCCCCGCCGTCAGGGGCCGCGGGGGGAGGCCCCGCGCCGCCGCTCCTCGGGCGCTCCTGTGGCCGGAGGTGCCTCCCCGGAGCATTACGGCAAGAAAGAGGGCTAATAAATAACGTTTAATCGGCACCGGAAAGCGTGATTTGTAATAAACGCCTTGTTATCCAGACGCAGCGTGTTATTTTAGGCCTCTGCTGCGTGTGGCCTCAGGGCTGCAGGGGAAGCCCTCGGGCCCCGGCTTCCAGCGCCGCCGGGATCTCCGGCCAGGCTCGGGAAGGGCAGGGAAGCGCTCCCGGGAAAAGGAGGAGCTCCCGGGGCCGCAGGGCTGGGGCGCAGCGTTACAGCGCCAGGGCAACTCTTGGAACCGGCATCGAGCTGCGGGAAATACTCGCTTTTTAATGCATAAAACCAGAACTTCAGGTCACCTCAGATTTTAAGCCATCCACTCTCCCCTTTCCTAACAGTAACCAAAGTTTTGGGTTGCTTGTTGTGGTTTTTGTGTTTGTTTTGGGGTGGTTTGTGGTGGTTGTGTTTTGGGGATTTTTTGTTTGTGTTTATGTTTTGTTGGTTGGTTTTTACTCCAACGGTTTAAAACATTTTTTTTTTTAAATTTACAGCATGGTTTAATACAAAGTGCTGTTTTATTGATAGCCCTAGGCCAGTGTAATTACAGCAACACTACACTTCTTGCTCCCCTCTGTCCTCAGGTTGTTTTAAATATTTGAAAAGTTCCTAAGAATTTATAAAGCATTGCTGTAATCTGTCAGAGGCAGGAGTTTGGGATGCCCCTGTTACCAGCAGAAACATGCTGGTCTTAAAAACTGGTAATTTATGTACACAAAGTATTCATTTGACTTCATAAATACTGGATTTATACATACATGACTTCAGGAGGAGATGCCATTTGCAGAAATAAAAAGCTTCCAAAGAACATCAACTCAAAGCATATGGCTATGTTTGGTCCTAGGCAGGACTGATGAGCAAAGAGGTGAGAAGTGAATTAAAAGGTTAAAATGTTGTGAAAATCTGTTTTCTCTCATGGAGTATAATCCACATGATGCAATGCACCTTCCCCTCACACAAATTGTTAGTATATGTTATTTGACTTAATAAATGCCAAAAATGCAGAAGGTAGTTAAAAATATCTAGAATTAGAGGAGTGTTCTCCTTTCTGTCACTAAGAGCAATATCAAATGAGTGATCTATATGTTAAAATTAACACCCTAAGCAAGACAGTGGCATTCACTGCCCTGAGCACATCTGCAGTGTTTATACCACACATTCAGCTGCTCCCGTCCACCACAATCCCTGCTTTACTGCTCATGTGCTTTACCACCTCCCATCCTATTTCATCCTTTTTGTTCTCAGTCGTCTTTCATTCCCTACCAAAACAAACCAAACCCATTCTTGTATTTAGTAGAGACCTTAGTTCTGCATGATACAAGTGAAATGCCAGCTCCTTCCAGCCAGGACAGCAGGACTGATTTTTTAAAACTTTATTACTGCAGGGCAATACACTCAAATACTGCTCTTGTTCTTAAATTCCTTCTCTTTTGGAGAAAGAATGGTCACATATCATAAAAGTATGCATTTTCTTTTTCCAGGAAATTAGATTTGGATGATATTAGTTTTGCTCCTTGGGGGGGAGGGTGGGGGGGGAATTTTTAGCCTAAACTACAGGTTATGTCATAACATTTCAGATCTCAAGTCAGGAGAGAATAGAGTTCACTCGTATTTTGCAGCTTTTGTGGCTGGTGCTGTGGGAAGGTTCCCTTTTTTTACTTAATCTCTTAAGTTTAATTTATGAACAGATTCTCTCTGTAAGCCAGGCATTCTTGGACCAGTAATTAGTAGAAAACACAAGCTTTATACATATTGGTAAGTTAATTGCAAACTAACTGGAGGAGTAAGAGAGAAAGCTTTACACAGCATAGTCATGCATAATAAAAACCCTAATGTAAACAACTATTAAGTGTTGCCGCCCAGACCTTTTCAAGTTCTACTTTTCCTGAAAGAAGTACAAAGAACCCCCTGAAGCATTTGATGATCCACCTCTCAATGGATTTGGCAAGATGTATCACCTTGCCCTAATTAGCAGCTCCCAACTTGCCTGTTTGTATTTGAAGGACTCACCCACGTTTTCATCCAGGCTGAAGTTTTTATAAAGCACAGCATTGTTTAAGTTGAAAGTTTATGAAGTCTAATGAATGTAGGTTGTCAGGTTTTTGTCGCATGTAAATAATGTGTGTACATTTACTGTTGTGCAGGTCAAACTCACTGCAATGGGTGTGCATGGAGGCCACCTGCAATACCCCGTCCCTGTTCCACAGACAGCCCTCACTGGGAACAATTCAGCCACAAGACTAAAAGGCAACTTGTTGCCCACGTAGGTTTTTGATTAACAGGAGAAAATTGGGATGAACACTACCGGGAAATGCTGGACAGCACCTGAAAGCTTTGTACTGAAACAATTTTAAAGAACAAGCTCATCAGTTGCAAAGCTTCTCCCTTAGAAGCTATGAAAGACTTGATCCAAGTGAATCATTCTCATTCTGTGTGTGCAAACCAGGTACTTTGCATTTAGTTCTCCGATTCCCTATGCAAACGCCTTTTTCTCTCTATTCCAGCATATTCCTTGCATCTACCCTTCTTATACTCTGATGCACCTTCATGCCATCTTAGACAAACCCATCTGACACTATTCAAAAGCAGTTTGCTCACATCTAAGACCATAACTTCTAAATTGCAGGTAACAAGAAATTTAAATTATTCCAAGTCTGTTACACAGAAGATGACACAGTATGGGTTTCTTGCATAGGAGCTGCAGTCACTTGCTTAAAATCTGGTATCCAACCTTTTCATGTGAAACAGCAGTTCAGAAACAGGAGTTATTGTTTATTTAGCTTTTGAAGGCTGCTATTAACTCAACGTGTTAGATGTGCATCCCAGATTGAAGCAAGCAAGCCACATCTTTCAAGCATCATGTAAGACACGCGAGTTAACTGCAGCCAAATCCATATTTTTGGGGACTACATAAGCAACGGAGCAGTGGTTCAAAAAAGCAAGCTATCAACCAGCTGGCTGTGTTAACAAGCAAGAGGAGATCCCTTCCCAGCACAACAGGCCCCACAACACTGTGCAGATATTAAAAGCACTTTACAGTTTTGATTGACAGAAATTTGGCCTAAGCAGTTGAGAATTGTGCATTTCATGCAGTCTAAGGTAAAAGCAATGTATTAAATAACTTGGCCCTAATAGAATTTGTCAGGCCTTGCCCTGCTTGACAAGACTGTGTGTGGCCTGCAGTTTCTCAGACATGGTGCTGCAAAGAAAGGAAGTGTTACACAAAAGCTGCATTCTCTCTGCTGTTTCCCCCCATCCCTTCTTTGCACAAGTTCTTCTGCCTTTGTCTGTGTGTACATAAACCAGGGAAAAGCTCCAGTTTCTGAACACCAGTAGTCTGGACTTCTGGAAAACAGCTATTCCAGTCATTTGTACACATAAGCTATTGCTTACATTCCTCTTCTATAATTATATTGCTATAGAGACTGTTTTTTAAGATATGGAGAATTTTGGGAGCATTTATAAACAAGTCAGCATATTTATAAACAAAGCTTTTTATTAATAAAATGTTTACACCTTTTTATTTTTTTGCACAATACATCAGACTGGTAGTGATTTAGCATGTTATTACACTATAAAAGTTTATTATGAATGCTTAGGCTGAAAAGGCTGTTTACATTATGTCAAATCAACATTTCTTTATTTGCATTCTATGCACTATATGGGAGTGTAACAATTCAAACAGAAAGGAGAGAACAAAAGCCTGGTTTTCCTCATTAGCATCTACAAACCAACAATACAGACAAACCTGTACACGCTCTCAGGACCAGCCCAAGAGAAGACTAAAAAAAAAGTCTCAAAACATTCATAAGCTTGGGAATTCATCACTACAATATTTCATCACTAGTAATCTGACTACACTTCATGCAGTGAAGCAATGGTTGGAAATTTGTGCAGTTTACAGTGCTGCAAATGCTCTGTAACTTTGAGCGGCTTAAGTTTGTTTTAGTAAGAGATAATATAGTAAGAAGGCACAGACCTTTCAACCCTTGCAACAGGTTAACCCCATCCTAGAATGAAAAGGCAGAATGTTGTTATGAGTGACAAGAATTGCCAATACAAAGGTTAACCTTCACACATTTTACAGGCAAACATTTACTACACTGCAAGAGCTCTATGCATATCAGGTTATTTTTGTGTCCTGAACACACAAATGCAGTTTCTCATTCAGAAAAAAACCCTTTTTTTTTCTTCATTGTCCTCAGTGTGTGGAGTACAAGTGGGAAGATGGACAGGAAATCTTTAGCATCTTAGCTAAAGAAATGCAATCTATTTCTGTGCCTTAAATCAATTAATACACCATCACAGTGTCAGTGCTGCATACACAATTTCAGAAAGAAGAAGTACAAGAAAGAAAGTTAAAATACAGAAGAGGCTTACAATAGCTTGCTCCTCCAGGTCAATGTGCTTTTAGCCTTCATTATGTGATAAAATACAGTCATGGCACAGGTCTCAGCTGCTGTAACAGTTTCATAAGGCTGTGCTAATGAATTACCATTTTGCTTACAAATATTTGCTGCTTTGACAGATTCTTCTAGAACTTTGTGGCAAAAGAGACACTCACCACCTATCATTGTCTAAATCCATAAGGAAACAAAGAACAAATTGCCAAGAAAACAATGAATTTAATAGGAAATACATACTGTAACACAAGCAAAAGATAGTAGCGGTGAATCTGTCAAGGTGTCAGAGTTACAGAATATTCAAGTGCAACAACTGGATGGAGTATCACACCCACAGTGATGAAGAGCATGACAGAAGAGTGGTCTGTTTCCTTCAACATTTGAAAAAGTTGGTTTGTTCAATAACACACATGTGAAAACATCAACAGAAACCAAGCAAAGCAAACCCCAACCTTCTTAAAAGAAAATCTTTACAAAGGTGACTAGTTCCTTAAATAAAATTTACAGTTAGTATTTAAGCAAAAATTTAGGAACATCAATTTGCATGTTGAAGGAACAAGAACAGCAAAATTGTTTCTTCTAAGTCTTTACTCTAGACTGAGAAAAGTCATCCTACTGCTTCAATTATTCATGTAAAATAGGGAGCACCAAGTAACTCTCAGCCATTAGAACTTTTCTAAGTATTTCTGAATAGCTCTTTATAGCATGTACACTCTGACAACACTATGTTAAAAATTAAGGGTTGGGTGGGGTGAGAGGAAATGGAGGGGGGGAAGGAGGAAAAAGCTGACCCTAGGGACATTGTGACATGTCAGAGGCTAAGCTCATCAGTATTCGTGGATTTCAGGATAGTCTTATATCTCTTGAAAGATTTGTTATCTGTGACACTTCAGGGATAAACTCTGGTAATTGCCTGTTCAATTTTTTTCCAAGTTGTGAATGCATTCAGACTTTTGAGACCTCCAGAATAACAGAAGGGATTTTTCAGAAACAAATATTAGTGTCAGAAGGCCTAAGTAATTTTAGGGAATTACGTTTTGGCACCTGAATTTTTATATGATATACAAATATGTATTTTCACGCATATTCCTTTTGACAAGCTGGAGCCATATGACTCAAAGGAAACTAACATGACTATTTTAATACTAGAATCTGTATTTCCATCTTGCATTGGTAATTCACACTGTCATCATATTTCTGTAAATCTTCTGTCACCTACCATCACTAGGCTGTGATCCACTACCAGAGATGGGATTTGAACATAAAACATCAACAGTTTTCTATAGGGAATTTTTTTGCAGATTTTTAGAGACTTAATTCCAAGTACACAATTCTCCTGCTTTGAGTTACTGACTTGTGATGTACATCTCAAGCATCTCAGATGGTTGTACAATGACTTCCTGCTAGAAAAGTTAAGAAAGCTTCTCTTTTTCTCTCAACTATAAACCAGAAAGCCATTTTTAGAGGCTGTAAGTATTTAGGAGAGATACGTGAAGCCTTTTTACAAAATGAGCAGGCAGTGTAGAAGTTGAAGCCAGTGAATTCTGCAGGTTCTGATCATGTTGGAGATGATTTTGCCCTGCTTATCTGTAACTATTGCTGCTGAGTGAGGCTCACTCCAGGGTGAGCAGCTCCACTGTTCTGACAGCTTCTGTCCTGTAAATCATCCATTCCTGTGCAGATTGCTGACACAGCACACCACAAATAGCCTACACCATCCTTAACACACACTAAAGACTGTTTCACAAGCAAGTAATTCAAACTTCACTGCTAAAGCTTCCTTTTCCTAAGGAGGAATAATGTGTTATAACATTATTATAACTAATAGTGTGTTATACTGGAACTAAACACTAATGTGAAAGAATAATTTAAGCTTAACAGTGTCATAAAAAAAATCTTGCTGAGGCTAACTTTTAAACCATTCAAGATTTTCCCCTTGAATTACTTTGTGATAATTAAAATGAAGCTTTAACCAAGAATGTAGTTCTCCCTCAACCAGGTTAAAGGATTAGACTTCCAAATCAATAAGTAGGTCCAGTCTCCTCTCCTCTTACTCTCTTCCCAAGCAAAAAAATAATCCTTCTTGAGCATGCTGGTAGCATTAAATGTAAAGCAACACATCAAAGACTCCAGTCTGCACAAAACGTCCCTCTAAACCATTAACTGTCTGATCATGCAGCACTTAAAGGAAGGGTCTCACTGATGGCAGCAGGGATCTGGAGTGCAGTGATTTGTTGGACCTAACACAAAGTCTTAACCTTCATGGCAACAGCAAAAGTTGTTAGAATTGTCTTAGAACTTTTTCAAAGCACCTCTAACAGTTTTCAGTAGTATGATTACTAGATGCTACTAAATGTCAGCTTCCAAATTTCACCTGCTTGGGTACTTGATATGCCAGTTTTCAGGATGTATATAAAGTATCCTACAAAACTATCTACAGCACAGATTGAGAGCCTGGCAAGTCAGTTAAGTGACTGTTTCAATAGAGGGTCAGATGAAGACACCTTCCAAAACCTGGAGCAATAATTCAAGTTGTTCCAAAGCTTAAGAATGAAATGTTTATCAAATTATATTTTTGTTCAATTCTCTAACTTCCATGAGAAATAACTGATGATGTTCAGAAATTGCAATAGTCATATTTTTTCAGCTAAAAATGCTCTGAATCAATGATATAACATACACCTCATTACATTTTTACATACATGACACTTTGCCCTTTCAAACTTGTTCTGCAGAAATGAATCTCTGCAATGTGCTCTGGGATGACCCTGCTTGAGCAGGGAGGTTGAACCAGATGACCACTATGGTCCCTTTCAACCTAAACAATTCTGAGATTGTGTAATTCCCTTTGACAGTAACTGAAAGTTGAGTCTTTCTGATGAACTCCACTCCTTAGACAGAAAGACATGATGGAATAAATCTTTAATCCTGAGCTTTTTTAACAACTTCTTACCAGGAAAAAAGTTATGAAAAATTTAGCTGGAATGGTTGATAATCAAACGCTCCAATACCAATGTATCTCCAAATAGAGAAGCTATGTTAGGACAAAATATAATCAATTCCAGCAAGCCTAGTGCAAGATCAAAGCAGCTGACCTAACAAATTATTAATATGAAAGAAACCATTTTTCTCCAACAAAAATGAAACAATGAGCATGTGCATCTCATGCAGGGAAGATTGCATTCCAGCTTTCAGCAGGGCCAGTGATCAATAAACACTTATCTGGACTCAGAAGAACTTACATCAACTGTCTGTCTTTTTAAATAGGCAAGTGTTAAAAAGCAGCCTCACTCCAGGGTTGGCAGTTTGGACAATGTGAAACACTGGCTGTTTCTGTGTGTTCATTACCTGCAGTAATTCAAGATCAGAGCTGCGGAAGCAGTAGGGTGTAAACCCATGAAGTTGGATTTCTTGGGCTCTCTAGAAGCATGGAGCCTGTAGGACTATGGCAAAGGAGGCAGAATTGGCAATGCAGGCAGGATAAGCAAAAGGCATGACAAAAATGTAGTCACCAAATATCACTAAACTCACTGACTCATCCAAAAACCTCACTGTACCAGTTTGCCTGTTTTGCTCCAGCTCTCCAAGAATTTTCAGTAACACAAATGAATCTGAAGTACAAGTCCTTTAATTTCTTACAAATTTTCCTACATTTCCTTCAGAGAAAATACTTGAGATGATAGAAAACCAGATTAAAACAAAAAAAAGAATAACCATTGTCATGATCTCAGTTTGATACTAAAGCTAACCAGCATATTTTAGTATATACTCAAGTCTATTAAGCTCTTTTTCTTCAAAAGTATAAAAGTTTCTCACTAGTGCTGGTAAGAAACAAAAAGTAAAAATAAATAAAATAGCACAAACAGGTATGGTCAACCTATAGTTTAATTGAAAGCCTACTAGAACCCATACAGAATAAGCTAAACACTGATTTGCTAAAAATCCTCACAGATGAAAAACCCCCACAGATGAAAAACCCCAGGAACCAAGAGGTAATGATCTACATTACCACGTCTTAAGGTTACTTCCTATGTGTATTTTGTGCCCAAAATGGGAAAGACTGGGTGCACCCCAAAGGAAAGGCTGTTCAACAGACAGGCCTCATGCTGCCCCTACAAGATTTTCTATTGTCCCTTTCAAACATCATTGAAAGGGAAAGAATTTCATCTGCCTCTGGATGAACTCACAGTGACAATACCTAAAATGCAGGAAAAAAAACCCTGATGGAGATTCCCCAAGAGTTTATCCTTAGGTATGGAATGAAAGGAGTGTAGAAGATTGTATTATTTTTTACTGTTTTTACATAATTTATAACACTTTAAACACTGGTCTTATAAATATAATATGAACACTTTACACATGCCAAGCAATTAAAAGCTTTCCCCAAAAGCTTGTAGGTCTTATCAGAACCACTGGCAGCATCTGTTTACAGCATCTCTTTTCAGCCAGTAACCACTTAATTCAGTCAGATCTACAAGTAATTTTCTTCAACCAACATCTTAATATTAAAAAAAACTTTTAACAACAAAAAGATGCCTATAAGCATACCAGTTTGCCTTAAAGTGATTACAGTCAGCATGAAAAAGAAGATTGTCTGTGGTATAAGATCGGTTGCTTGTGTCCCCACCCCCAGTGCAGATCATCCTTAAATAAAAAGTGCAAATGGGATTTGGGGACTGGATGGACTGATTTGCCTACTATTTGTCTTCAGTTGCTCATTCTGTAGCCATCTCACATCAACTGTCCCATCATACTTTGGATTAGCTACACCAAAATTTAAAATAAGGCTCACTGAAGAAAAGGAAGAAATGACATCTAACTTCCAGACTCCTCCTAACCCAATCTCCCACAAAAGTGCTCATTTCCCTTTTTACAAAAAAACCTCCCAAAACCTTGATTACAAAACTATGAAAACATTTCAGTTCTACCATCCACATAGTCACCTTCCAATCAAGCAAGGCCAAAAAAGTGATGATGGATTCCCTTTGAATGCACGAGACACCGCACGCTGTGGAAGCCAGCAGGCTGCCCTGACGACTGCAGTCTTTTCTGCGCACGTACGGGTGCCACAAGAGCCAGTCCCTTTTTGGGGGACTTTGGGTGTATGAACACCAGCAAATAAAGATCTAAGACTGATAATATAAACCCAATGTGAACTATTAACTTCCAAGACCACCTACTGTATAAACAAGTTTGATTTTCTAAGGGGTCAGTCAACAGCAGCTGCGCTTTGTCACCGATGGCTGTCGTCGAAGTTTGAAGCCCTTCCCACTGGATGCGGGGTTGGTGTCAGTGGATGGAATTCTGCGACCTACAAGGAGGCAGGAAAAAGAAATTTATAGGAAATGTTATACTTGAAACTAATTCTAAGCATCCAGTGTACGCTCTGTATACAAAAATGTGCCTTCAATTAGCTATAGGTCACTAGGGAAGACATTCCTGCCCGGCAGGATGGCAGCAACAGTCTGTGTTATGTCTGTAAGAGGGACGGACATAACTGGCTGCACAAAAGGACAGCGAGACACTTTGAAGTCAATTTAGCAGCAGCTACACTTCAGGCTGATCTAGACCTGGACAGCTGAGCTGTAAAAGCACTTGGAGAGTACTTTGCAGGATGCAATACCATCTGGAACAGCTTGAGAACAACCATCTTGACCTGTATTTCCACAGATCACCTGCATCGGGCTTAACAAAGGAGTGCTTGTAGAGAGAGCTGCTTTACTCATCTCATCAGTCTTTAAAATGGACTGTTCCTGGTTGAGCATTCTCTTCTGAGGAGGATTTATGATTTTTTTTCCCCCCATAATTTATTCAAGATCAATTTTAGAGAGCAACTATTAAGTCAATAAATCAGGAAGCTAATCTACAGCACACACTCTTTACATCAGCTTCAATATATTCAATGCTATGCTTCTATAGACCCTATTTTTTTTCTTAAGTCAGATGTTTCTGTAGTTAGTCCTCTTTTCACAAACAGGCTGACACACCTGCACATTGGTGTTGCTACTTGACACATATCCTCTAAATAACATTGCACAGAATTCACTTTGGAATATTGTCTGCTTTTTATTCACACATATAAAAAGTATCATTGTTGTCCTCCCCACAAATGGGACAGAAAAGATTTCCAATTTAATATAAAAATTTAATATAAAAAACCCCCAAAACATACTTGTATTAAAACATACTTGAGGAAAATCTACATGTAGTAGCTGCTATTCCCCATGCAGTAATCTGGCATTTATGAATTATTGTATTTTTTAAAATACACTTTTTTACCCAAAGTAAAAGGACTAAGAGTAAGAACTTAATTCCTATTCTCAGATGTATAAAGTCTGGATCTTCCTTATGCCATTTCCTTCCTTTTCCATAACCTTGGAAGTACTAATTGGAACATTCAATAACAGACATGGTAAGATGACACTGACTTCTGACAGGAGTACCCTGCCTGGTATTTATCCAGCAGCATCACAGTAGGCTGAAAACCTCTAGAAGGAATAGTTAGAGGTCATTAGGTGAACAGAAATTCATGCAGCTCATTTTTCAGTTTGTAGTCATGTCAGATTGTAACAAATTTAGTATAAAGTCTGTAAATTTTCACCCAAATAGCATAACAAGTAATACAGAAATCAAATTTCTATGCAAGTTTTTTGCAGAAGAAAGTACATTAATTGTTTAAATACTTACTAATTTCTATAAAGAGTTCATTAATGTTTATTGCATTTTTCGCACTTGTCTCTACAAATATTGCATGAATGGAATCTGCATAGTCTTTAGCATCTTTTTCCATGACTTCTCTGGAAAAAAAAAAAATAAAAAAGCAAAGAAAAATTCATGAATGCAGAAGAACCCCATTACTCAAAACCTTAAGGGACAGATTAAGTTTTTAAGTGTCTCCTGTAATGAATATTTTACATGTTTGGCATCACAGTGCTCCCTCATGCTGAAGCTGATGCTCATTCTTTACTCTGTCTCCCTGCTTTGAGGTACAAGCACAGTCATGAACTACCCAAGGCCTTAATCCATCTGACATTGCACTGCTTTTGTCTGGAGTGCTCTAATCTTAGGTCTGCAATCAATCCTTCTGAGGCATGTTTTTCACCCCAGCAGCTTTATACATCCTAAGAAGATCCTAAAACATTATTTCCAATGATCCTGTGCATTTCTTATGACTGTTTCAAAAACCAAAGTATCTCCCAACACTGCACAAATCATCAGTGCAGCATTTACTTTGCATGAAGATGTAGCTATAAAAAAGCACTTCTGAGCACACAGAAGTGTACAAGTCATTCTGCCCCCCAAAGCAGGCAACTTGATTTTGTTTCTTTCCTTAAACAAAATGAAAAATACAAACCCCAGTAGCTGTAGTGAGGTCTGGACTTTATATTGTATCACTTCACATACAATTTCTACAACACACTGGCTACTTTCAGTAATGAGGGACTTTAGGATATCAAGAGCATGGACTTTGAGCAGTGGCTCAAATATTGCTTCTGATTAAAGTACAAGGAATCTTCCTCATTAGCTTGAATAGCAATGTTTACACTTATGATGCCAGCTGAGCATGTGAGACTTGAATTCTGTTCTAAATAATTTTACACTCTATTTCCTTCAACAGACACGCTACTTCTAATGAAAGTTATTAGAGCTCACTAGATAACTTCTAGGTATTAACAATTTGTAAAACCATACTCAGAGCCACCTTTGCAGTGGTTCTTTAAACATATAACCAGCTGTCTCCTTTGAGACACCAGCTGTGGTGCCTTTTCCAGCAAAACCTAAACCCAAGAAGTTTACACACACCTTCTTTCTGAATTTTGGCTTATTTAACAAGGACATCAATAAAAAAGGCCTTCTTTTGTTTTTAGTACATGCCTTCCTGAAAGTTTGGCTGTTCATAAAGTTTCTCAAGAGCTTTTCCCGCTCCCTGCAACTATTTTGGCCACAGCCAATTCCACCCCAATATTTAAGCAGGGAAGGAAGGCACCTGAACAAGCAAGCTAGAAAAAACCTACACAATGCTTTCCAACAGGCTTGGTATTTTTCCTAACAAAATGAGGTGCTACAGACTGACAGGGGCACTTCTTGTAAAGTGAGGTAAACAGCTTCTATTACACTATAGTTTCACAGGCAGTTTAGGTTTGTGTAACTTGGCACTGCCACCAGAAAAGGTAATCCTGTCTCCCTGTAAACTGCTCATTCCTAACCCTGCTATCCCCACACCGTTATGCCAGCAAGTGTTCATGGTGTGAGAAAGATAAATATACTTGGAACAGTTTTCTTTTTTTTTTTTAAAGGGTTAGTTTTAATCTGGATCCATTTTACAGCCCAATTTACTGCCCAATCACACGTGTACTCACATCAGCACAGGGGAGGAAGTAGGTGAGACCATCCAAGGGCAGACTAACCACATCTTCTGACAGCAGAAACAGCTCAAACCCCTTGTGAAACTACAACACTAGAGCAGAACAGCTCAAATTGTTCCAAACCTTTCAGCTGCTCTAAAATCTTAAAATATTTAGTTCTAGGTCTTAAGGAAAACCCTAAAAATTGACAGGAGATATTTACCTGACATCATTAAGATCACACTTATTTCCTGCAATAGCTACAACAATGTTGGGAGGTCCATGCTGGCGAAGCTCTTTAACCCAGTTCTTTAATGTTGAGAAAGTTTCCTAATGTGGAAAAAAAAAAGAAAGAAAGACGATAGAAGGAATTAAGAAATTAAGAGTCAGAACTAGTCCATGACACAAATAAAAAAGCCCCAGAAATTATAATGCTGGGTCAAGATCAAGTTTCTTACCTCTTTTGTGATGTCATACACTATAATGGCTGCTGCTGACCCTCGGTAATACATCGGAGCTAAAGCACGAAACTGGAAGAAATAAAGCAGACAACATAAACCTGATCTTCCACTGACCTCCAGAACCTCACTATCATTATTATTACTATCGAAAAAAGTGAAAACCAAGATCACAGCAGTGAAAAACTTTCCTTTACAGTCACAACTAGTCTGTGCAGTAGAGCACATAATCTCCCAGGAAGGCATTGTTCTCCTAAGGCCAGGCAATAAATCGTGCGGTATCAGCAGCACCAAGGCAAACTTGATCTTATTTTGCCTAGATTAGAACCTCTCACTTAACGGACTGTCTACACAAACATGCATGTGCTTAACTTTAAACACCAAACAAGGACAAAAATGCAGGGAGAAGGCAAGGTCAACTTTGACTAAGACAAAAATGTTAAGAAAACTAGCATATATTAATTTTGATCTGGAATCTTCAGAAGCTGCTGTCAACTTCTAGCCTCATGGATCAGTCATCAGTCTTAAATGCTAGAAATGTTGATTTCTTCAGAATCTAACTTATGGCTTCAGTTTTGCCCTCAAATTAAGAAGAATGTTTAAACCAAAAAACTGCAAAAGCCCACAGCTATGTGCCCTGTTGCAAGTAGAGCTTTAAGGAATGTACTAGATAAAAGACTGCAGTGATTTTCTTGTGATTTTCAGAATTAAATCTACAGCCGGTCTGTTTGCTTGGTAGGGCCTGTACCTTTGTGTGGACAGAACCTTATTAATCCATTACAAAAAAATAGTGATAAACTACACAATCAAACTGCATCAAAAAATATCAATGAAGCATTCTTAAGAACAGTGGGATATTCTGCCAACTTTAAAGAAGCCAAGACAACTAATCTAGCAACCAGAACTCTCCATCAAAGTGCAGAGTGAACTGCATGTATTGGTTCCAGGTAAGCATATATGATTTAGAGCTTTTGTGCATCTTACTCAGGGTAAAAATAATGAATTGGGTACAGTTTTTCATAAAGGCTTATTCATTTCCAATAAAATACCAATTTCCTTTTGCACAGTGCAGTTCAACTGAGAATGATATAATAAATCATAAAAATCTTGCTATAAAGCAGAATTCCAGACCATTTATATTTGGCTCTAAAATTCTGTTTTGAAAATAGGATTTTGAATGCAAAGTTCAGAATATAAAAATATTTAATAGTGGGAAAGGGAAACACGGGCAGGCACTCAGTTCACATTGGGACATAATCCCTCTCTTCCTTCTAAGTACTAAAATATAAAGGGAAACATATTTGGTAAACCAGCACTTGGACTGGTTGCAACCTGGCTTTTTGATTATTTCACTATTTACATTGGGAAAAAACCAACTTTCACTTGCTGATTTTGTATTACTCTCATTTCCTGGCTGCTAACACTTAGATACTTTTTTCCACCTAAGAGCAGTCGGCAGATAAAATATATTAATAAAACAGATGTTACCAGAAACACTGGATTTTCCTTTTGCCATTTTTCCAAAGACTTCAGCTTGCCCCCCAGGCTCCAGTTTGTGTTTTGACAGAAATATTAATGGAATTATGCATAATGTAATTATGCAGGGAAACTCAAAACTGTTAGGTAAGAAGACAAAAATCCTAATTACTCTAAACTACCTCCTATCAGTTGAACTCAGTGTAGAAGAAATGAGAGGAGAAATAAGATGTGCGTGTAAATGAGGTGTGTGAATGACTTGGCGCACATTTCCACCCCTGGAACAAGGTTATCCAGCCACTGAGAGAAAGGGGGTGCCCAGAAGCAGTGCAGCACTACTTGCAGCTGGCCTTTTGAAATGGGAAACAGCAAACACTCCTCTAGGAGCCAGGACTGTGAATTCCTTGCATTCCACATCACAGCCCAGCAGAGACATTTCAGTTCCAAGAATGGTGTGGACATTTTTAGTATTCCAGACCTATTCCATGGAGGGAATCCCTTCCATAATTCACTGTCAGATATGTTGCATGAGCAGAAAACTGTGCTACAGATCTCAGGGCCAGGCAGGTATACAGCCCATTTGTGCCAGCAGTGATAGTTCTGTCCTGCTCTGGAGAAAGAAATGTCTGTGAAGATACTGAATCATTTCAAAGGAAACATCCTTGCTCACATATCAGTGTTTTCCTTGGTTATATTGGGGTCTCAAGTGACTTCTCTCAGATATGGAATATGAATTTCACAGGTATCACAGCTCCTGGGTCAGAGTCCTGGCAAGACACCTTTCCTTTTTTGATTTCAATAAAGATATCAAGCAACTCGTATGGAAGAAAATTAAAGAGATATCACTGAGAGCCCAAAAATAGACCAGGAACATGCTGGTCATGTACAGAGATGCTTCCTCAGATCAGATGTGCTGAATCCAAATTACAAGGTCCTCCCCTTGCTTGCAGTTAAAGTGAACAGGATGGAATGCTAAAATGTAATGGATGTTTCCTGCCAAATAGTGGCAGGCATGTTTATAAAGGTTTCAATTTAAGAGCACCAACCTCTAAAAATTCATACCCTACCTCTCAGAATATCACTTTCCAGCAATAACATTCCAGAATGGGCTATGATGTTCACTTAAGACAAACTATTTACAGCAAATGCTGACTGACTGCTGGGAATGGAAGGGCTCAGGATATTTTTGATAACACAGATACTATTAGACACATTCCTGGGAAATATCCCTGACAAGTTTGCTTTCTATGGTGTGGCTGGAAAGAAATAAATAGTCATTCAAAATCTACAGCATTAAATTACGATACAAATACACTTGAGTTACTTTCTAGCCATCAAGGCTGTTACCAAGCCAATGAGCTGGCAACTCAGTTCTACCAAGAATCCTAAAGGTCAAGTGCCTGTGGATAGGGATGACTGAACCTTTACAAGGTGTTTTGCTTTGTTTGTTATTACTGGGGGGGTTGTTTTTTTTGTTTGTTTGGTTCTTTTTGTTCGAGCTGTTTCTCAAGCCAATCCTGAAAAGCAGTACAGCTGTATTTGCCTGTTGTTACCCTGAAGTAATAACACAACCTTTGTCACAGTTACCTCACATCCTAAATAAACTCATCATGAGTACTTGGCAGTTGCCAGTAGTTCACTCGCAGTCAAGAAACAGCAAGAATAAATAATAAATTTATTTATTATTAATAAATTATCTGTTAATAAATCTACTGTAATTTCTACTGTTCTTACTAGTAATACATAAGCAAGCAAGTTCCCTAGCAAAGTATCCCTTTTAAATTCCAAGTAAAAATCATGCAAATTAATTAGCTGGGATTTCATCTGATTAGTCATTTTCTTCAAAGTTTTGTTGCCTCCTCTCAGAACTATGCATGCTGCAGAGATCAAAACCCCAAACTACCAAATTAAAATTTAAATTTCAAAAGAGATTTCTTGACATAGTTTCTAACATCATCAGATTTGATTAGTAAAACTTTACAAAAGGATAAAAGAGCAGTTATCACCTGTAACATTGCTTAAAACTCTGCTTTGGAAAGCCTAAATCTACATCCTACTCACATTTATAACTCTTACAGTGAAGCTAACAGAATGTGTTAGCCGTTGTGTATTTTTCCAGAATCAAGGCTTTACTTTTACTCTGAAACATGGTTAATTTATTTCACTTTGATTCTTCTGGTGCTGCACTGGCTGCAAATATTGCAGCTGAATGTTTAAAACTCAACTAGAAATGGTACTAGTGTGCTGCTGGCTTCCCCACACACCTGCCTTGTTTTCTCTGGAAAGACCATTCCCTTTCAGTGAATCCAAACCCAAACTATTGTTTCATAAACTTCTCTTAAGTAATCTTCCTTACCTTTAAACTTTAATCATGACATCAATGAAAAATAAAAACATATACATCACCTACATCTAATAAGAACCTCCACAGAAACAAGAGTTCTAATACATGTTTATAAAACCAGATCACTTTGTGACTTTCAGGGGAAGAGTTGAAAAGCAACCCAAGCTCTGGCCCAAACTTTCTCCACAGATAGTGACTTTACTTACCCGCTCCTGTCCAGCTGTATCCCAGATCAGGAATTTATGCAGCTCATTTTGATACTGTACAGTCTTGGTCATAAATGAGGCTCTGAAAAAAAAGTTACACAGTTCATGCTTTTTGAGAATATAAATCCTTAGAACATTCATTACCACCATGAGCTTTCAAAAAGGTTCACATTCCAATAAAAGCGCTTTCCCCACATGTAAACACACAAACTGATGAAACGTTTCAGACATAAAGGCTGAAATTAAGAGAGGATGAAATTTCCTTGCAGAGACTGACATTCAACTACCAAAACACAACATGAATGCAAATTATAGGTTTTAATTGTTTGTAAGCTTTAGATAAAAAATATAGGATATATGACAAAAAACCCCAGAAAAGTCAGCCTTTTAACAACATTCCTCCTCACAGCACCACAGCAATCACTTCAGTGCACACTGGAAACTTCTGGGGGGAGAGAGGTCAAGTTCTTCCCTTTGTATCAGCTTTTTCTATCTCTGTATTAACATTCAGGTAAGTGCTGGTAAATCCATACTTGGGAATAAAATAGGAGATGGATATCAATATTGGTAGGTGTTAACAGGACAAAGAAATCAATAGAGTAAATTGCTTGTTGTCTGCACCTTGTAGAGCTCCCAAAACCTGTCTGGCATTACATATTTTAGTTTGCAGAGGCTCTTGGACTTCCAGAAGATTAAAAAAAAACCACAAAAAGACAGCTCTCTCCTATGTTCCAGATGCTTCTCCCCTGGCTCAAATTCTAGATGTTAAATATTGCAAAGTACTTTTGTGGTTTATTTGATCTGCTTTAGCTGAATGAGTGAATTTCCCACAAGAACACAAATTCAGTGACCTTACTCTTTTACAAGAGGGAGTCCTTTGCTATATCTCTTACCTGTAGGCACATTTTATCACTGGAAAAACCACACACTGAATTAAAATCCTTGTACAGCTAGAGGTGACATAACTGTTTTAAGCACATGAGATCCTACACTGTGAACTTGAATACCTCTTGTGTGATTAATTCCTGCCACATGAAAATATTGCAGACTTCCAAACTTATTCTTCTGTCAGTTTTGACAGGATTGTGAAGATACTGGAGCTCCTTACAGTGCTCCAAACTTGCTGTACAGTCAGACTCAGACAGCAAGAGTCTTTCAGTATGATCAGCATTGCATACCTGGGCCCAGGACTCTGAACTTCAGTTTATCTTGGGGCTTAAGAACCACTTAATGATGTCCTTGACACTTTTGTAACGAATGTAACTGCAGGCCTGGGACTTGTTTCAATGCTATAAGAGGACAATTAGCTAGGTACATTAAAGAAAAGGAAAGAGAGCAGTTACACAATGTTTCAGCTGTTAAGAGGTTACCTCCCTATTCCTTAAGCCCAGATCATTTGCCAAATACTGTGTCAGTCTCCAAAGTTGATTCCCCTTTTAAGAAGCCGAATATAAAGTTGCAACACCCCTAAAAACAAAGAGCCTAATTGCAATGCATCTCAACACCAAAAACTAGCTGACGTGTTTCTGCAATGAATAAAGAAAATCAAAGCGGTAGGAGCATCTCTAGTAAAGCACAGCAGATACTTTCACTTCCTTTAAGACTGCTACAAATTATGCATAAAATCGGAATTCTCCCGTCAATATGGAAACAGTTTCCTAAACATAGGTTCTCACTGCATTTATCTTACTTGCTGCTATAGACCAAAACATCCCTGTACAGTCAATTTGAACTGAACAGCTGTGTTTCTGTGATTCACATCATAACTAAACCATCCCCAGTGGTACCTGACAAGAGGTTAAATGCTTCTTGAAATTCTTTGACAACTGGGTCAACAAAACCCTCCAAGCTGGAGTTATCCTTGGTGACTTTTAGTAGGAATAATGTCTGTTTTCTTACTAAATTTTCCAGCTGCTTCTCCCAGCCAAGTAGATACTATAACTTGTTTGATATTCCTTTTTGATGCTATAAAGAAAGACTAGATATTCTGCAGTAGCTAAAGGTATATGCTGGTTAAATGTGCTATCAGCATCCTGAGGGGAGAAAAGTTGCAGAATTCTGACAGGGCTTCTGCAGCTGCCCATATCAGAAACAGAGCAATGAACGTTGACAACAACAGTGTGATTGCTCAGCTGACTCTAAGGGGAATGAAAACAGGACAGGAAACAAGATCATATCTCATGAACTCAAAGACCCAGGAATAAAGTTGAAACATTCTCAGCCTTAGTTTTGCAAGTTGCTCAAAGCTCTACTAATCCTTACTTTGTCCTTTCCACCTACTAGTCTCAATTAGGAATTAAAAAAAAGGTATAAAAAAAAAAGAAAAAAGTAAAGATTAATTTACTTCAGGTTTTCAGACTGTGTATCTTGTTGGAGCTTCACACAATCCCTGCATTTGGGCAAGTTTTGATTCCTTTACACAGCAAATGACCAAAATAACCAGTCCTCAGGCCAGTGAATGATTTTGTTAAGGCTGGTAAAAGATAGATTTTCAGTCTGTCACTTCAAGCAACTATAATGTCAGTATTTATACTCGGAAAAAGAAGGAGTTGTAAGAGAAAAGAGAGAGATCACGGGAACCTCAATTTGTCAGAAGGACAGGATGAGACACAGCTGATCTTTATCAGCAGGATCTTTTTTTGGTCGAAGCTGTAGCAGAGCCTGTGTGACACCTGAGACAGGAAATTATAGCGACACCCCCACACACCTCTTGACATCGAGCAAAGGCTGTCCTCCCATAAGCCAAAAATTGCTTCTGATCAAAGCAGCCCAAAAGACAATTGTTAAGCAAAAAAAAAGGCAGCAAAAGAAATAAAAAGATCCAACCACTCCAAGAATCCCTGATGCTTGCCCTTCCTTCTATTCATTCAAAGATTTGAGACCAATAATGTTGCTACTCTGAGGCTCAAGTTTCAAATATTCCCCTTACCCATGAGACCAACAGCAAAAACAGTTTCATCAGTTAGATTTGTGTGTGCCTTGCATACAGATGTGCAACATTTTAACTAATTCATAGTGAGACCTACCTGAATTATGTTAACAATCCTTAAAAGCCTAGGAGACTTATAGTACTTGAGTCTTTAAAAAGCTGTATTAGAACCCGTGGAGTTGCATAATAATTAGATATTGAAATTTAAAGGTTGTGCATGAGAAAAGCATGCTGTCCATTTAGCAGAAGCATCTGTAGTGCAATTTATTCATTGCTAGCTTAGATTAACAATACAAAATGGGTCCAGACCTCACACATAAAAATGGAAGCTGCAGGAGTGCTGAGAACACTCCTAGGTGTCCTGAGGTAGCTCACAAGCTTAATTAAGGCTGCACTCATGTTTATTACCACATTTAGCTGCCACACATGAAGAACTCCCAAGTGATCTATTCAGGTAATCTCATTTTATTCTTGCATAAATCACATTTACTTCACTTAGTTTCTTACCCTATTGTTGGGTTGATGTTGGGATCAAAGCTATCTTCGACAAATCTCCACACAATACTTGATTTGCCCACACCAGTGTCCTAAAAAATAGAAACAGATGAAAGTGGTATTAGTTACTATGAACAGATGATATTTTTTGTCCTCAAGTCCTGCAGTACACTGCAGTAAATAACACATTCCTGCAGAGAATCCCAGAGAAGCTGTGAAACACTTCAGGTATTATATTAATTTAGTAGAAAATGAAAGGTCTGTGACAAATTACAGTTTTCTAAACAAAATTGTTAAGTTTTTTTTTTGAAGGACCACAAAAATCTGCATTCTCACTTACTGTTACTCAAACTTTGGGCTTTTTTACAAAGCTATGCACACCTTGCAATGGAAGAACAGTGAGAAAAGACCACTTTTGGTAAAATATGCAGCAACTGAATATGGCTTGCCAGGATGAAGGACCAGAGGAGCACATGAAATTATACAAGTGTGACACATGCTTTCAGCCTCTGACTAATGCTGTCCCACCCTGCTTAATGAAAGACTTGAATTTTTTTCTGTGACACACCTGAAACATGTTACTAATGCAACTCTACAGTGCTAAAAATGGTGAAAGAGGAAACATGAAACAAAAAATTCTGGATTGCGTATATTTTTGTAGCACTGAATCCGCAGTTAAAAAGCAAAAGATACAGAGAAGTCACATTTAGAAGTGAAATAAACTCTTAGCGGAAAACACTTCTCAGTAGAAGCTGGACATCTGTAATTGTATTTTAATTAAGACATGTGGAGACAAACTTTTTGCTTTATATTTCCTGAGTCATGAAAACTTTAAAGAATAAACCGCTGAGGAATTGCTTCACTGTAAATGAAGTTTTACATCACTCATGCATGAATATTGCAGCAATTTGGGTACACTATGTATGATTGTGTTCATCCTGCCAAGCTGTTTTCCTCTCCAGGAAAAGCACATTATCATAGCCCTGTGTTTTATACTGTTTGCAGTCTCATTAATCAGAGCAAATCTTAAAAAGAGAAACACAGATGTGGTTCCTGGCTCGGGCAGTTCAAGTTTTCCTGGGTGCTTATTCTCCTTTTCTTCCATGACAGAAGGTTTCTGAGGCCAGGTGAACATAAACAGTAGTTACCCCAAATACCTTTATAAGACAAAGGGCACACAAACACATTATCTTCCCCTCTGAAGGGCAATGTGGCCATTTAGAAGTAGAAAACAACTCTGAACAACAGAGGGTTTCAATGCAGGTGGTGACACCTCCACCTGTTCAACTTGGGGCTCTCAAACCAAACCAAGCCAACACGAGGCTTCATACCCTTCAATTTTTAAACTTCTGCTTCACTTCGCTCCGTGTCTCCTCCTTCCACCACCTGCAAGGCTTTCAAGCCTACATATGTTTTTTACAATATAAATTCAGGCCACTCCCTCTCTCTCTCCTACCAGTTTTCAGGTGCTTCCATTTATTTTGTGAACTCCAAGCCCGAAACAGCCTAGGAGAAAGAGGGAAGCACGTACTGGACGTTTGTGCTTCCTCTCTTATTTTTAAAAAGAGAACAGGGCAGAAAAGGAGCGATATTGAGCCCTGGCAGACAGCTCCCCCGCGGAGGGGAAGGCGCGTCCGCCCGGTCCCCTCAGAGGGGCGAGGGCCACCCCGCGCCCGGGGAGAGCTCCCCACGCTCGGCGCCTCTGACAGGGGTTCTCCGAGCTCTGAGAGAAGCTTTCCGCCATCACCGAAGAGCCTCTCCAGCCTCTGACAGAAGCTCTCCGCCATCACCAGAGGCTTCCCGGAGCTTGACAAGAGGCTCCCCGCCGCCACAGAGCCTCTCCAGCCGGCCCCTCATTCCGCTCCCACCCTCCCTCCCGCCGCCCAGCACTTACCCCCAGAAGACAAACTTTCAGCTCCCTTAGAGCCATGGCCGGGCGGGCAGCGCCTTCAGCAAGCGCCTGAGACGCGGCCCAGCACAATCATCGCCGTCCCCGCGGCGGCCGCCCCCCGCCCGTCCCGGTTACCCGCACACCGCGCTCCTCCTCAGGCTGCGCGGACGCGCCGCCATCTTGGGCGGCCGCCGGAGTCCCCGCCCGTGCCCCCCGCTCGCTGCTATCCCCCTTGGGTGCAGAGAGGCCGCACGACCCCCGGCAGCCGCTGCTCCTTCACCCGGTGGCGTTTCGGGGCTGACCCGGCGGCAGGAAGCACCCGCGGCTCCTCCCTGTGCCCTCCCGCTCCTCCTCCTCGCCCATGTCCATTCCAAGATGGCCGGTAAGTGGGACCGGCGGGCGGGCGGCTCAGCTGGGGCTGCCATCGTCCCTCCGAAACCAACCCCCTGGTATCTCTCTTCTGTTTTTTGTTTGTAGGGATCCCTTTGTATTTTGTGGATTTGCAGGATGACTTAGATGATTGTGAGTAACTGTTTTTTATTTTTCCGCTCCCTGTTCAGGCCCGCGCTCCCACCCCGGGGTCCTCCTGTCGCCCTCTTTCCCTCTCCGCATTTTGACCCCGGTGAGGGCGAGGGGAGGATTTTGAGGCAGTTCTGTCAGGTGAAGGTTCCTAGGGCGTTGGGACCATCCCCGCTGGTTCCAGTGGCCGCTGGGCGCAGTGTCAACAGCAGCTCCGGCAGCGCTCGAGCCTGGGAAAGGCTTACGGGGGGATGAGGGGATCGGCCCCGCTCCTGTTGTCGGTGGGAATTAGGATACTTAGATTGCTCAGGTGCGGTGAAACTTTGCAAAGCTGTAGAGGCTGTGAGGACGCGTGTTCAGCTGCTCCTGCATCCCGGGGATGTGCTGCGAGTGCATCTCGGGATGAAGGGAAGATTGCCGTGTGTGCTCCGGTTGGATCGCACAAACCGGGTGAGTTTGGGTTGAGTACTGTGCCCCGGTTCCAGAGCAATGAACAGCTCCATCACACACCGATGTAGTCCAGGACTGTGTTCCAGGGGAGCTGGATACCTGTCAGACCTGAACCAGCCTGGTAAACGCTGTGATTTCAGGAGTTAAAGCTTTGACGAGCAGTGATGCGAACTTCTGTTGCCTTAGAAAGTAACTCTCTCTGTGGGGTGGTTTCATTGCGTCGGATGTTGAATTGACTTTTCTACTTAAAAAGAAAAATGGTACTTGTATTCGTTTCTTGTGAGAAACTTTATTTGTTTGTCACAAGATATTTATTGTTTGATACCGCTTGGAAATGTGAAACAGGTGGACCCATCCTGCCCACCTTCCCAGCTGATCATGAGAAAGCTGATTTAGGAGGAAGGTGTTCCTCGGGAACACCAGGGGAAATATTGGAATACAACTGGGATCTACGGTCCTTCATTTGGAAGATGTGCAGGGATCATTTCCTCTGTGGGAGGAGCTGATTCTGTGGAATTCTATTAGTTGTTGTTCTCAGTCTTTGAGATTTCTGCTTTTCCCTAGTAGGTAGCAGCATGTAAAGTGTGAGAAGCAGAAACAAATGCAGACTTCATAGTAGCTTTCTTACAGCCTTGGACCATCCCTGGAAGAGTTTGTTTTCCATTAGAGTTCACTCCTTGGCTGGTCTGTTTAGACTGTAGCAGATTAGCCTGCTAAATTGATTAAGAAGCTTAATGCTTGTAAGGCAAAACTCGAGTAAATAAAAATGTCCAGATAAAAACAGTTTTGCCATAAGTGGTAATTCATAAAAGAAGCTAACCATTTCAGGATGAGCATGTAAATAAATGAACCTTTTAGAGCTTTATTAAAAACCAATTCTGTGACTTAAAACTATTCTTTGATTAAGTTCATTAATTTGACAATATCTTTAGAATTATGGAATCAAAAGCTCTGTTGTAGCAGAGTTCAGGTGTCCCATGACTGAGATACTGATATTGTGCTAATGCAGAGGTTAGCAAAGAGTTCAGGATGTGTTTTAGGAAAGCCTCAGTGAAATAAATCACTGGAATTGGAGTCTTACTTGCATAAGTAAATTGGTGAAATAGTGTCATGCACACTGAAGATCAGTTGTGTTGAAAGGGAGTCTAGGGGCTTATTCCAAATGTGGGAAAAAGCTGTAGTAAAATCTAACTAAATTCAAGTGCATATTAAAACTTGTTTCTAATAAGATAATGGATCATCTCAAATAAATAATTAGCTTATTTATGCCCTCTGTGCAATTAATAAGAAAGTATTTAAAGACTTTGTTTTTCCTTCTACAAACACCAGGAAGGAAAATAACCTTGAGCTGATGAAACTGTTCTGCTGGGTGCTGGTATTTACTGATTTGTGCTGTGAAATGTGAATAGTGGCACTGGGTGATTACATTGAATTGCTCCACTAGGTCCTGTGACCCTGAGTTTCTCATAACTCTTAACAGCTTTTGAGCACAGTGAACTCAAGTTCAGCTCTGAATACTGTCACATTTATTTCTGCTTGTAGGTGAACAGATTTCAAGCTCACTTGTTTGCTCTAGTTAGAGGGAAAAATACTGAATATTAGATGTTCCTGGGAAAGAACGTTAGATAAGAAATACTAGTTCATCATTTGTGATTTACTTTATAGTACTTGGTGTATTCTAAAACTTGTGAGTACCCGTGGTGTCCTATTTTATGGAAAAAGAAAACTAAAATTTTTGAGAGAATACAAAATGGATTCTGCCATGATTATTCCTTACTTATGTGTAGTGAGATTGTGTGGAAAAAAATTCAGGTATTTAACTCTCAATCCTGAGCATAAGTAATGGTGCTCTGTTTTCTCTCTGCTCTTAGAAACACTGGTGTATGCTTAAGTACTTTAAATGAATTATGGAGCTACTCCATGCAGTAAAATTAAACATGTACATCATGTTTACAAAATTAGTCCCAGGTGTGGTATTGTAGTCAAAGTTAGAAGTGGGATTTATTTCATTGTCATTTGAATTGGTAGGAATCCTGAACTATTTGAAGTGAACCAAGAGCTTTAATTGTTAGTGTTTCTAATTAGGGACAGGTGGGAACTAGGTAAAGCTAATGACAAGTATATTGATTGTAATCAGTCTTTCTTTATGTAACAGGTGACTAACCTCAAAAATCAGCTACTGAGTGTCTGGTCTGTGTGGAATTTCAACTATATATGTATTATAATTGCATAGGCATAAGGATTCCCAGAGTTTGGGTATGGAGAGTTTGTTGCAACCTCAGAAGGGAAATCTGCAATCCTATAGACGCTGTGTAACTTCCCCTGAGCTGCCAGGGATACAACAAGTTTCCCTTGAAGCAGCAAATCTGGATTGTTCCCTCTTCGGATGCTTTGACTGGGGGCAAGTCCTAGAACAGATTGATCCCAGACAGAGCTGGGCTCTGTAAATTGTTTACACTTGTACAGATAAATGTTTTGAACCTGACAGACCCTTCTGTAAGGAGCAGCCATGAGAAATAATAATGACCAGTGGAGGGGAAATGAGGGTGTCAGTGCAATACGTCATTGTTCTAAAAAGCCAGGAACAATTAGCATCTGTTTCCTATTGTGTGGCTGTGGGTTCACTTGTAGTATCTGTGTGCACATTTGAAATTTCAACATTTAATCTAATCCCACAGTTCTACTTTGTTTGAAATCCATTGAACTTGTTGTGCATGTTGTCTGCAAGAAGAGCAGAATTTGGAACTTCTGTAGTATTATAACTCACCTGGGTTCCTTGGAGACTTTAAACCAACCTGCTTTTTTTTCCACCTGAAGACGCAGGTATAGCATTTTTCTCCAAGCATGTACAGATGATTTCCTCTTTTACTGAGCTGTATTTCTGAGAGTGTTTTGACTTGTGCTGAATAATTGGAAAACAGAGTTTTATATAGGAAATGTTGGAAAAAACATGAGGCTTAGAACAGAGGAGTTTTTTTAACATATGAAGTGATTTATAACGGCTATTAATGGAGTTTAGACCAAAGCAGTGGCTTATTGTCTTCAGTGGTTGTCACTGTCAGCACATGTGGTGGTTTGTGAGATATTCATGCATGTGAGAAGCTGTGTTGGCAGAATTTGCATTTACTTAAGCGTGATCCCAGTTGCTCTATTTGTGTGAAAGAAGTGTGCCTGGCTCTGGGAGTGCTTGGGACACCTGTAAACCCAGAGCAGCAATATTAACTACTCCTATGCAACCCTTTCCGTGGAGTTCCTATATCCAGTGCTTAAATAAGAGTATTTATGTGAAAGATTTGTGTTGCAGGCACATTATTTCACTTGGTTGTAGGAGTGAAGGATTAAGATAAGTTTGGCAACAAAGTTCTCCCATTCCCTTTCTTTTTCACTGTCATACCTCCTGCCTGTGGTCTGTAATGGTGACTGTTAGACTTGGTAAGGCAAATTGTAACAGTTGATGTGGTAATATTTGGGTAAAAATCTGAAGCTGTGAATACTAAAAAGGTTCAGAGTTGAGAGGGTTCACACAGAAAAGTCCATAGTTAATAGATGCAGTAGGGAGCTCCCAGCATCTTCCCAAGTACCATGAAATTGAAGTTTTTCCCCAAGTTATCTGTTTGATTTAGGTATGTGGGACCCAGTAACTACAGTGAGAAAAATGCACATTTTTAAATGGAACTTTAAAACAGACATAAGAATTTTCTGTTTTAAGGCAATATAGTTTGAAATTTGCTATGATTGTTAAAATTACAGTTTCTTCTAATGGGACTGACTTTCTTTTTGAATGTGTTGGTCAGTTTGTGATGTGTGATTGTGTCAGCTAAGTCCTCTTAATTCTGCATGTGGATCCTCCACTGAAAGGGCAAAGTAAAGCATGTTTAAAGCCAAAGATTTTGAAAATTTAGTTAAATTTTAAAGCTTGAATTATTTACAAATCTGTATGCAAGTGTTGCGCTCAACTTCATTAGATACAGTTTAAGATGATTTTGTAAACTGTTTCCAGTGATGTGCAGTTACTTTTCTTTTAAAGAAATAGCTACTGGTTTCTTGTATTTTATATTGTAACATCTCTTGCTGACTCCTGGATTTATTTTTTCTTTTTTTTTGGCATTACTTTTCATGTCTTTCAAGTTGGCTTTGAAGATTATGGACCAGACTGTGATAGCATGAGGATAACAGCATTCTTGGATATTCCTGGACAGGATAACTTAACTCCACTGGCTCGTCTAGAGAAATATGCCTTCAGTGATAATGTATTTAACAGGTAAGGGCAGAGCAGGCACACTT